CAATAACGCCTTGTATCCTGATTGACTGGCTTAATACTTGGTCATTCCAAACCATGAGAACGCATCTGTCTTCAGGAATCATTCCGTGTTGATCATTAATAGTTCTCTATTTCATCGATGGGAGTTCCTTGTAATCCACATTCTTGAGTACAGCAGAGTTTATGAAATAACCGACTTCTATCTGGCTACTGACCTGCTGATCCATTGTAAATTATGAGTTCCCCTGGGGTACTCTGGTTAATTTCATCATGTGTATGGAGTATCAATGAAACTTTCAATTGTTGTCATCCGGTTTGGATGCTATTGTAACATTTCTATGCCGACAGTGTTGATTACAGAGGCTTCGGACACCAGGTAAGTAGCATTGCGAAGGTCGCAGCAATGTTGCAAGCGAAACTTTGATTCCGCGAAATCAAATGAACATAGTGGTGACTCATGTGTTTTCGTTGCACGGAAATATCTGGGGCAAGAATGCTAACTACAACCCACGCCACTATGCTTACGTGTCAACCAATATCGGTCTCCACCATCCACCTACCATGTACTCGCTCTTTGAGGCGTGATTCACAAAATGAGTTCCGGATGTATTAATGACCGCGTGTATTATCTCTTGCTATATGGGTCGGACTGATAACAGCTCAACTTATCAGGAACGCAATAGGAAATATAAACCGTTCTGCTTTATATGAATTAGTACGCTGACAGCATTCTGTCTGGCCGTACTTCGGTTTTTATGGCTAAGGAAACAGTGGAACAAGGGTAAAAAGGAAAATGCAAAACAAGTCCCGTAAGACAGTTATAGTGAATCTTCAAACAATAAAGCATTGTCAAGGAAATTGCGTTTGCACTGGTGAACTCACTGAGGTACAAGTAGATGCCGCTGTAAATCCAAGGTAAATCCATAAGGGATGACGGCAAATTTGATGTACACATACAGGAGGTGAAAAATTGGAACGACACCCGGGATTTCACCGCCTGTGAAATCTTACAGACACATGTGTTTGCAAATGTGTACTGAGTCATGTTAGATGGCTTCAGCGAAATAAGTGTACGATCAACTCGGGCTTTGAACTCTACTGCCAGCGAGGGAGCACGTATCGTAGCGAGAACGACGCGGGTGGGGAGAAGGGGAGCGTAGAAGGTGTAATGCAAAAACAGTGTGCTACTGACTACTTACTAACCGGTTCTGATATGGACTGTGTTTCCTTCCCACGATGCACCTCGGATGAGGATTTGTGAGACGGGCCACTCCATGTGCCTATCAGGTTGAGGTTTCGAACAATCCTTCAAAGTTTTCACCCTATATATATCCGCTTCGATGTCTCCGATTCTGAAGAGACAGGAGTCACACAAAATCTCACGATTTGCTTTCCCGGGGCTGCATCAAACGGCCCGCGTTCAGTCTTGTGGGTTTCGCCATTGGTGTATTTGTCTGATTCCCGGTGTTCTCGACAAATACCTCATCCATTGTTCTGGACCCAGGCTTGTTACCAGATGCCACCCATGATGCGCATTTGACTCAACCCACAAGGCTCACCATGCCTTGTCCCGTCTCACCCATTGTCCCGTAGCTAACTCCACTATCTCGTTTTGGTTGTCTTTCCATTTCACGAGTATTCGTTGGCTTCCGCCGCCGAACAATATGACAGATTCCAATGGGAAATTCCACGTAGTGTAAACGCTTCCGGAAAAGAAATTCCAAGGCATTTCAAACGATTGTGCTGTTCTACTTGATTAAGATGGTGGCCACTCAAAATGCTGTTGTAACTGTGCTGTAACAAGTAGCGGCACGTATGGTTGGAACCTCTTAAAATCTGCTGCCTCAAGATGAGTTCTCTTCTCAATCGCGGATACTGTTCGCTGAACAACCCAAGCATTTGGAGCCTTCGTTCATACGGCAAATTATATAGACCCTTCACGATTTTGGTTGCTCGGCGTCGGGGTATCTCCAACAAAATGAAATCTCCCCGCAGGCATAGCTGCCAGACCTGTATTGCGTAATCCACATGCGGCCGTATGTATGAGCCAAGAAGTTGTGGAAACATCGAAGGGTCGAATGATCCAAATGTATGCTTCAGGAAGCCAACATGATGGATACCCATCCTAGACGCCGTTTCAGTCTGCCTCGAACATCCAAGCTCGACCAGAAACAAATTTCCCAGATCCGTAGGTATAGCACTCTACATCTGTCCACATTGAACTGAAGTTCATTATGGATTGACCACGTGTATACCCTATCCAGATATCCTTGAAGTTCTGTGATGTCATCTGGTGCATTGATTGCCCTCCACACCATGATGTCATCGGCATACAGTCCCCAGTGAGAACTTATGAGGCGCGCGATATCGTTAATATACGTCAAAAATAATCGCCATCCTTGTACTGATTCCTGTGGTACTCCGCATTCAACTCTGCTGGGATCGGCTGCGATCCATGCACTCATACTTCCAGACGCTGGTATACAAGACTTTTGATTCATCCTAGTAGAGGATCACCAGTACCAAAGCTCTGAAGTTTGAAGAGCAGAAGGTTATGGTCTAACCGGTCGAACGCCTTTGAGAAGTGGAGAAAAATTACAACAACGGCGCCAGCGTCTACTACTTCAGTCCAGCTGGGTCGTGCTAGTAGTAGATTTGTAATGCACGATCGATTTCGTTGGAAGCCATGCTGTCCCGGTGCGAGGTAGTTAAATTTTTCCAAGTAGGTGGTTAGCGCATCAGGAACAATAGCTTCCATGAGGTTTGAAAGCACCGATAGTAAGATTATGGGACGCTAGTTGGGTAGATTGGAATGACTACCCCCCTTGTGAATAGGGGTAATCATCCCGTGTTTCCACATGTCCGGCAAGTACATTTCGTCAAAACAGTATTAGAAGAATCGAGCCAAAGGCTCAGCTAAACTATCCCATTGCGGCTAGGTATTTGGTGTTTAGATTATCAACTCCAGGAGAGCTATGCTAACGCATGCTCAGAAGCTATTTTAGTAAAACTTTTGCCGTGAAGAATATGTAAAAAGTTTTGGAGGTCAAACAACCATTGTCATAGGGTTAAGTGGCCACTAATACCAGGAAAAAGTTGCAGTCTATTGTAGGCGCAGGGTATTCACCGCCTTCTCCAGCGTCCGTGTTGATCCGTCCGCTGTTTGAACAGGAGAAATTCCTCGTTCCACCTAACGTAGACTGTTGACGTGTTGATACAGAAACGATATAACTAAATATTTGTCATGATTTTTAGGATCCTAACTTTCAGTGTAACGAAACGAACTCATTGTTTCATTTACGCTTCAGAGCTTGAGTCAAATGCCGCGTATAGCGGTGTTATCTTGTTCGCAGCTTACTGACTGATAACTACGTGATCCAGAATTTATCGCTTCGATGACCTGATATTGATATTGATCGCCCTTGCCACTATACTATAATGAGCTCATCGTTAGCATTCAACAGTTTGATCATAGTTATTTGCACTTAGATCGTCCTACACTCTTCCTACATTTTCTTCGCGAGAAGTAAATTCCCTTACCATTTTACGCCCCGATTTGTCCCGTGATGAAACACGATGCCAGTATTTCATATTGCTCGTTCCGAAAATAACACTTCTTAGAACTTGATGATTTCTTCTAAATTTGCATCTTCCTTCACAGCCTGATTGTTCCAAGGAACACCAGATCTTTCAGACTTACCAGGCGTAGAATTAGTATAACGATAACGTGCTGAAAACTACGCGCTTCACTCGTTGGTACTTGCTTATTTGATGATATCAAAAGATGCGGGAGTTCCGTGTGTTATCAAGTTTACGCAGTGTCTGATTTAGAAAAGTAGGTAACGTCTACGAAATAAAACCACTACGTGCTAAGAATGGCTCTTGGAAGACATTTCAGTCGGCTGTATGAGGTGCTAAACAGCTCTCCCGAACGGATACACGAGATCAGGGGTTGAATGTCAATAAAGTCGGGTGTATACGTACGCCCCATGCTGAGGCTGATATTGCATTCTTGATGCTTCTTCACTGCAGTTGGGCTAAACCAACTCACACAAACTAAGTCTTTTTAAGCTGGCTAAATTTCATTCCAATATTTGGTTTGTTATGCCTACCTGAATAATCTTCTATTAACTGGCCACGTTGCTTAAACTATTTTCGCTTATCTCCGGTAACTTTGTTGCGTTTGTAACATTTTAAATAACTTGTGGACATTTTTCCTTATCGCGGATTCGTTGCTAATCAAGTTACTTCATATGCTAATTTAGCGAAGAGTTATGCCACCGTATCTGTATGCATTACTCGATTTATTTAATTTCATCTTGTCGTTTCAAGTGATTGGCCGTTGTTTGATATCCCCGGTGTGGCTGCGCTTGATGTGCAGGTTGACAAGGTGCCTACCTGTCTATTACCCACTACCTCATTCATACTGGCTCCAGGAGACAGTTGGTCGTTGCTGGAGGGGACGGGGTGCATGGTCCTTGTGGCCGTGCTAGGCTCGAAGAGCGGTTCCATGCACTCAGTGTGGAGCGGACTACAGTCCAGCCACCGCCTTGTGTGCGCTTGATTCCCCAAATACAGCGTGCTTGTGGTTGCCTGTGAAGGAGTGTGGGCCGGCTCCGTTGATGAAACGTGGCTCCCATCTACATGCCTCCCGATCTTATTCCTTTGGGTTTACACTGGATATGGGGTTTGCGGTTGGAGCTGTGGGTGGTGCAGCGCAAGCCACCCATGGTCCCTCTGTAGGCGCAGGCGTCCTGTGGCTGGCCACAGCGACAGGCAAATCCGAAACCGGATGCCGCCAACCATACGTACGCACGGTTGCCGTCCCATGAATTTGCAACTTCATCACTGGTGACAGAAAGCTGCAAGCTAGCTTGCGCAACCATTACGCACTAGCATGGTTGTGCAAGGAAGCCGGCCGAATGTGATCGAAATCAGCTGACCGCCCGCAATACCCAATGAAAAACACCGCTCGCATAACAGCCAATGAAGGCGGAGATTATTTCCTTGGTTGTGTGTGTTAGCGAAGGTTGCTCAGGCGGCTAGGGAATTGGCCCAAAGCGCGGTAAGACAACATCATGCGCGCACGTGACCCTGAACAGAATTGATTCCGGTCTCATTGGCACATAATCATCTATGTGCGCTCGCCAGTTATTTTGTGTACGTGTGCACCATGGCATGTGTATGTCTGCCATCGATGTGAGACTGATGAATGCATGTGTGCATACGCACTTGTGAAGGCACTCAAATTTGACCAGCTTCTCCATCCATCTTAATTAGTCAGTTGTCGGCCGACGCAGTACTATTACATTTCCGTTCGTTCAGCAAACCACATCTGCACCCAATAGAGCTCTGATACTGTGCACATTGAGTCAGCTTCAGGTCACACAGTATTCGGTAGTATTATCCAAATTTGTGCACTTGCGAAAATGGACTCTGCATCTACGGAGCAGCCTATGCAGCCTCCGCCTGAGAACGAACCAGTCAGCGAAGATACAGACACCAAAGGTTCAAACGCCGGTGATTACGACAACATCTCGGCTTCAGAGTCTAATAAATGTGAGCATCAATCGCAGGACAGCTCCAGTTCGACTCCTGCAGTGGAGAAGGAACCTGAAACCGAACTAGTGAAGTATGTGTTCAAAGATGCATCGCGTCCGGATGATATCGATGGGGCAGTCGCAGTAGTCCAGAAAGTGGAGTGTCTTCCTCCCTTGGTTGCTGAGGTTGCCATACTAGAAGACGTTGATGAATCACGGCAAACCTCCACTTCTGATAGTGCCCAAGAGCAACGAGTGGATGGGGGAGAAACTACGCCCAGTGATGGTGCCGAAGACAGAGCAGAGACATCAGAGGCCCCAGATGTCCAATTGCAGTCGGGCACTGAAGTCCAAAAGCAAGATTCTGTCAAACAGGAAAAGGCTTCTCGTGAACTTGAGCCAAATGAATCCACTGAGACTTCACCGTCGGCTGAAATTCGTGTCCAGTCGGGTCCCTCAATTTCCATGAAAGTTGAAACCGATCAGGGTTTAGATACCAGCATCACTGAGGGACCTACCTTACAGTTGCAGGACGAACAGAGTGAAGAGATTATATGTCAGCACCAGGAAAACGCAGCGCTGCATCATTCACCTCATGGAGATAACGAACCAGCAGATAAACCAATGGGCCTGGAAGTAACACCCGGAGTCATTGTGGAAGGAGGCGAAGTAAAGATACAGTCAGATTTGAAAATATCCTCTGCAGGTTCGTTGGAAAAATCCGATAAAAAGCCAAAGAGAAAGTCAAGACTCCCTTTCAAACTTAAGCGTAGCAAGCCATCCACTGAACAACGACCAAGATCTGGGGGCTCGTTGGACAGGGGCAGCATGAAGTCTTTTGGAGAAAATGTTCGCAACTTATTTGGAACCGTTCGTTCCAGTGTGAAAAGGAAACGAAAACCTGCAAAGCAAGAAAGTCAACCAGCTCCCGTTAGACCTCCAAGACCACCCACATTGGATGCATTTGAAGCGAAATCACGTGTGACATCAAACGACCTGGATGCACACTCACTAAGATCTGTCGACGGACCAGTAAGTAAACAGCAGCGTTTTGCATTCTAGATGGTTTATTTCGTGTTGAAATGCTGCGAAAACTTCGGACGACAGCTCTCCTTAGACCGGGCTGAGTGGCTGGGTAAGAGGCACAAAGCAGACAAACGCGTAATGCAACACATTATGTGCTTTCTACCTGCAACAAAGAATTGACATATCGACGAATCTCTTTATAGACCGGTAGCTACTCGAAAGTATCACGCCACAAAAGAGCTACTGAAAGAATTAGCAGCATAAATCTGTTGTTTAAGGGCTTACAACCCCTCAGTGTGCAGTGACATGACTGCGTACTGAGGGTATTAAGAGGTCGGTTGCTTTTGACCTTCGCTGCCCGTCATCGATTGATCATATACGGTGAGAAAGTCAAGTTAGCAACACTGTAGCTCATCATCTAGTGATCAACAACAAACCATGTGATGCCGAACTGCAGTGTATATTGAACCAGATCCGGCTAAGGTGGATAGATTATGTTCATCGCTGTTTGCTGACTATCCGTCAGTGTGTGTAATGTTTTTAATCCTCTACTGGATCTGGATAGACACCGAAGTCTCTGATGTGACAAAAATGCATGAAGGGTTTGAGTCTGGTCGGTGTCCATGTGTGTCGTAGCCTTGGGAGCACCCTAATCAGTGGTTAGACTTCCTACCGGACGCGGCACAGTCACGAACTCAGTGGTTTTAGAATATGTTTCCACACCATTCTCTTTTGCGCTTCATTTGTACGAATGAATTTTTTCGTTAATTTATCTCGACCTTCGTCTTAGTGACCTAATGTCATCATGAATCAAGTTAATAGCAGTGTCTGATTCATAGTTTATCGATAGAACTGAGTAGATCCTGATATGTTGCTTGAACTCGATTGACTGAGCCTTTATGAAGGGTGGCTAAAATCACCTTGAGCGGTAGATCGATATTGCCAGCCCCACCGAGTTCAATACTAACTGGGTTGATCGATACGTTTATTGAGCTACGTTTGTCGAGAATGTGTCTGCTAAGTGTGCTGCGAAATTTATGTAGTGCAAATAGCCTCTCGACTGCCCTCCTGCTAATCACAGACTCGAATGTGATCTAGGCTTATTATTGGTTGCTTGCATCGTATACGTACATTTACTGGATCCGTTAGGCCCTCGCCTTACATATTTGAATATCCCATTGAGTGGATGCTATCACATAGAGGATATGAATTCCACACTTCTCACTGATTAGTAATGAAGCTAATTTTCCGTATTTATCAGCCTTTTTATGGGGGTTACCGAATCTCATGCGTATTCATCTACTGAACCTACTCAGAAACCAGCTGGTCGATTGAATAACCTTTAGCATCAATGAAAATATAGAATCGCGCCGTGAAATTTAACGGATGTTATGTTGCCCCGGATGCATCTAGCTTCCGTTTACTCAAAAAGTCCGCTGCAGCATGGCAACGTTACTGACACACCCCTCTTAGTTTACAGGATGGGGTTTGACCGATTCAACGAGGCGTATTTTATTAGAGTAGCATTTGGCTTTTGGATGTGGAGGTTGTCCAACCCAAGGTATTGTAGCTTTCACCTGTTGTTCAAATCCAAAGCCAGTCCCGGACAGTCAGAATCTAGAATAACAGGCTCTGCACAAACCTCTCAGTGCCCTGGAAATGGGCGGTATAAGTGAACTTTACCATTTCACTTGACATTTGGGACTCACCAGTAACGTGTCATGTACACACTTGATAACGGTAGAAAAGCCACTCACTATTCTCATTACTTATTTGAATTTTGACATCTTCGTAATTCATTTGCCCGCAAGTTTACCATTTTTGAAACGACACACTAGCTAATGGTTGTAAGTTAGACACACTCTCTGCAATCTCCTCTTTGTGCATTGGGAATAAGCTGACGACTCTTTTGCTTCAAGTCTTAACAAAGTCGTAACAATCTACATGCTATGTGTTCAGCTCAATCGACGTAGATCACTTTCACCATGGAATGCCTGACAGGCGGATTACAGCATCCTTGTTCACTAGCGTGCAACCATCCACCTCTAGCCATACGGTCTCTGGTCTTTGAGGTGCAAACCTGTCAAAACTCACATACACACTTGTCCATTATCGCCGATGTATAGTTTTTGACTACCGAAAGTTGGCGCAATCTATGTCGAACCTCCAAGGACTGTTTGGTTCCGGAACTAAACAATTCACAGCAGACGTTTGTGGTCGCAATTCAAGATTATAACTAGGGAACTTCCAACAAAACCTATCGTTTGAAATATGTCCCGGCAGATAATGTCAGCTCACGAAACTCCACTAACAGCGCCGTGTCAAGTGCTGTTGGCGGGACCCACTGGCCTAGTGATCGTGTCGGTAGCCGCTAACCACAATGCGCTGGGTCTCACTCCCAGCTCACCCTCTCTATAGCTGATGAGTCCAAAATAGGACGAAATGCGTCGTGGAATGCAGTGACGGTAAAGAGCAAAGCTGGTACCCTCCACTTCGGATACGATCTCAATGATCGGAACGGTAGAAACTGACTTCAAATTTCACCGAGCCCCCAATTGAGATTGCGTGTCGCAATCCAAGACACACGGCGGGTACTCCAAAATCCGACAATTAACACTACCACCAACTTTTTCCTGTTGTTTCCATATTTTCTAAGATTTTTCCTCGTACTTATTAATAACGGGGCGTAACTAACAATGGCATGACGCCATCATACTTCAATAATGGATATGACTTCACGTCGGGTCTTTCAATCTCCACGCGCTGTGCCCACAGATCGATCAACAAATGACATACGCTATGGATTGGAGTATGTTGTGTTCCCGCAACACGCATACCGGACATTGTTCTAATGTGCCTGCCTCTACCAGATTCGTATTCCATTATCAGAGATTAGTTGCATGTGGTGTTTCTGGTCCAATTATTCTCGGCAGCTGTTATGCTAATGACGTCATTCAAAGGACATGCTGAAGTTGCCGACTAGCTTCAAATCTCCGATGCTGTTAATAAATAGCGTAGAACTTTGCGTAATTTTGCTTCTTTTGTAAATGTTGTTCCCACCGCCGACAGTCAAAGGCATGTTGAAAATGGATTCAATGATCAAAATATCTGTACTGTCTAGTGAGACTACCGAATGAGAAATAAAAGCATTTCATTTTCCGATGTCCCTTTGGAGTGTTTGTTGAACTCAGGCCGCTTAGGAGCTGAAGCCTATGCTCCGTATGCATTCAAACTGTGTTTATGTGCGTTCATTGCCGCGCACATTTGGGTGAAATCCCGAGGTGATCAATCATTGTCATGTAACATACGTATGAAGTGACTCACTGAATGTCTGAATCGCGTTGATGCCCTTGGTCTTCTTGAATGGAATCGTTTGGAACCAGTCACATCAGCGGTTAGCTCTCCTACCTGATGTGGTGAAGTCGTAACCGTTTCATCTGAAAAACCTGCTTTCTCCCTCTCCTTTTAAGTTGCTTTTACTACTAGCACCACTGTTTTAGTAATATGGCAAGCAGCCTTCTGCCAACTGTAAACTTGGAAATAACAGTGTCAATGGGACTTGTCTAGACAGTCTTCAACTGATCACTTGGTGAATTACCCAACGACATGTCTAGACATAAGTGACACGGTTGTTGTTTACTAGATCGATTTACGGTCATCATAAAATTCCTGTGTGGTTCTTTCATACAGCAACATTTTAGACAGTACGATTTTTAGTACAATCTCTTGTAGCGCAACCCAAAGGAAACCTTATCGAGTGTCCAACTTAATTATCATCCACCAAGATAAGGTTTTAGTTTGTAACTCTGTGGTGAGACACATAGAATCGCGCAGGTAATTGTTACACCCGGGCGATCTGTTCCTCGTAACTTGATCATAAGGGGAAGTGGTGATGGTTTAGTGTAACGCCGTGACCGAGAAACATTTGTTTTCGCCTCCCATATAAGTGGATATGGCTTTCTGGCATTCAACTACACTTCGCTAAGCTGGAAATTATGAACTTTGACCATACCCATATAGGGTGTCGAGAGCTGAGAACTTCAGTTGGTTGGTAATATTTCATAGCACACTGTTACGTTAGAGATCGCATCATTACATGGCGTGTCTACGGGAGGTGCGGCAAAGCGGACTAGCAAATAGATGTCAAAGATTTGCTGTAGGTCATCGACAGCATTACGGTACAGCTCATTAGGAATGTAACTGCAAACTAGTAGGGCCCATTTGACAAAATCATTAGAGTATGAATGTATAAGGACTAAATGACGTGAATAACCTCGGTTCGTGGAACAATAAACTCCAAAGGAAACCTCGGTCATATTAATGGTGAGTTCTTGCGTGGCCACCGCTGTTATTGCGGTTTTCATATGGTATATATATGTTTATCCATATGTGGAACTCCGATACTTTCAAATAACGAGGATAATCGAAGTTTAAAGGTAATTAGCTGTCACTACTTACATTACACGCTGCAACTCAGGCGGGCACCTATTGACTCTGTGGAAAATTAACCGCATTCCAAAATTGCCCTGATTGATTACTGTACAGTATTTCTGTTCTTAGGTTATCCGTAGAATTGTGTTGATGTTTCACGCTTGACAGTCTAACTGTCATATGTCCGATATCTGTCTCTCTTCCATCGCTTTTTTCATTCTTTGCATTAGTCGGCCCATCAATTTGATGTAAAACGCGCTGACATTTTGGTACCGCTTCTAACATTCACCACCAGCTACTTTTTATCAATAGACTGTCACCCATCTGAATTGCTTCGCATGATACGAACGAGTCAGGCTTTTTACTGCTTGTCTGATTGAACTTGTTTAACTTCTATTCCATCAATTATCGATTTGATACTCAGCTAACTAGACTGACATCGTATACAGGTGGCCCGGTTTAATTTTCACTCCAGTTTGAACTTTACATGATCAGGACATGTCCTCAGACTACTGATCCGGAGGATAAGCCTGCACTAATCTACGCGTTGCTGCACGTGCAATTCGTTTCAACCC